CCCCCTGCAGGGGAGAAGACCCAGTGGAGGAGGAGGAGGAAGAGGAGTCCATAATGTTCGTGATATGTAGTTATTCATGTGGTATGAGACTATAGCATGTGCCAGCTAGGCCACTGATATGGCTGAACACTGGCTGTGCCAAGGCCCACCAGCCGCTGCAGAGGGCTCTGGGGTTTGCACACTGGCACCGAGGGTAGACAGCAGAGGGCATCACTCCCTCCCTCATTCACTTAAGAGTCCGAGGTGCCCTGCTGGTAGCACTGTTTCTGTCAGACCAGATTTAGAAGAGATTATAATTAACACAGTTGGCGAAGAGGAGGTAGACGAGAAGGGAAGAGAGAAAGAGGGTGAGGGTGGGGAGGCAAATGAAGAGAAAGGAAAAGAAAGAAATCAAAAGGAGGAGTAGGAGGAGTAGGAGAAGGGGAGAGGAGACCGAGATAGACATTAGTCCCCCAGTGGCTGCTGGGAGAAAAGAGGCCCCTGGCTCGGTATTGTGATTTTTCTCCTGACTGTGACATTCGTTGTCTCCCCGCCAGTATAAACATGTTTACAGGTTCCAGGAACTGGGGCATGCCTACATAGCTTCAGAGATCCTTGTTCGATCTACTGCAACATTTGAGACCGTTTCACCATTGCAAGAGCAGCTCTGGTTTAAGCAAAATCACACGGCTTAAGAATTGAGAGGCAGGTTTGATGGTTCAATGATGCGTTCGAGGACACCTTTCTTCTCCACTTGTGCTTCACTTGCCACTATCTCCCATCTTTGTACCCGTCTCTTCATGATCACAATACGGTCGGCAAAGCACCGTGCATCACAGGGAGAGTGGAAGAGGACTTTCTCTAGCTGCTTTTCCCGATTGGGGAGAACTGCCAGTGTGACCTGTGGGCCCGTGGTAGCAGAGGACAACTGTGCAGAGCGACTTGAGCTGAGACGGCCAGCTGGAAATCAAGTCAGAACCAGGCCAAAAGGGAGTGGTCGGGACCAGAGTTCATCCGAGGACGAAGGGACAGGATCAAAGGACAGTGTGCCGGATAGCTGTTTGCAGATCACACATTAATAACATCAGGGAGTGTCTCGCCGGAACTGGGTCTGCATGGCAGGTGCGGGGACAAAGGGCCTGGACCTCTGAGGAGTTGGTGCTGTGCAGTGGCAGAGGGGCACGGGGCGGCTCAGCAGCAGGCTGCTTGCCTGCTGTGAGGCCTTCGTTCTTCATCGCCAGCACTGCAAAGGAAAAACGTGAAGCCTCCCTCTGCACATAGCCAGTGGACACATGGAGACGGGTGGTGACCGTGGGGCACATTTTGTCCTGGCTTGTCTCTTTCTGTCCTTGGCGATCAAGGATGCCCTTTTCCTTGACCGAGATTTACTGCCCCACCCCCACATCATCCAGACACACTCAGTAGGACATCAAGAAGAAGCTTAGCAAGCGCTCTCAAAGCGTTAGGGGCGCAAGGGCTCACTGAAGTGCTATCAGTGTTTAATTCTCCCGGCAGCCTCAGGAGACAAGGGATCATTTACAGATGAGGATGTGAGCTCGGAGAAGTTTCAGGCTAGCCCGGCTGGGCTTAGGGTACCCTGAACGCCTGTGCTGTTCCCCAGTGCAGGAGAAGTTGTGGGGGGAAAGCAGAGGAAGACGGTGCAGGCTCAGGCAAGTAAGGTGGACTGCACCTATTTGGGCTGCACTTGGGAAGACCCAGGAACGCAGGCCGGTACAGGGACAGCCCACCAGGGGGCAGCAGGGACCCTTCTCCCTATCCACATTGCCGCCTCTTCCTACCGCCCCCCCCAACACAGGACCTGGTGGGTGTCACTAGCTCCTCCCTCCACTTTTCCCTCGTTTCACCCCAGAGCGGGACGCGCCATGCCCACAGTCCCACGGACACTGACGTCGCCTGAGCCCACGGTGGCGTCACGGCAAGTCCGCGACGTCACCGGCGCTTGCGAACCCGCGGTGGGGCAGAAACCTTGCCGTGATTTGGGGGCGGTTTGGGCTTTTTCGGTTTTCATTTAATGACTTTCGCGGGAAATCTGTGTCAGAAAGGTTGAAAAGGACACACTCGCTCCGGACCGCCCACGAGGCCGGAACCAGAATGAGCCCAAAGCAGCTTTTTCTTCCACAGAGTTAAAGCAGGTGCGTTCGCTGGGGCTTCCAGGACATCCAGCGCAGCGGGGGCTGCTGGGAAAATCCAAGCCCACAGCACCCTGCTGGCGCCCCACCGCCTTCAGGCACCCTCCACAGACCAACCCTCACGTCCTTTCTTCTACTTTTCTAGATCTTTCCCTGTCCCCTCTAGGGGGAGACCGTTGACAAAAAAACAAAACAAAACAAAAAAACAACACAGAAACAAAGCTTACATGCCAACCAACAAATAAAAGTTTGTTTTAAGTGAAAATTTCAATTCCTCAGTTGAACCAGCCACATTTCAAGGTACCTGACGAAGCAACACCTGGAATGCATTTCCTGTGTGTTGTGTCTGCCTGGGAAATCTGGCTGCAGTGAATGCTCATGGAGAGGGATAAAGAGGAAATTACTCGCTGTGCTATTTAGAGAGGCCTGTGGGAAGGGATCGGGGTTAGGTAAACTCATTAGAGCAGGCCCTGTGGGGTAGAGCCATTGTACACAGTCACTTGTTTACAGAGTCCCTTCTTCAGATTCGGCTTTGAGCAATGTCCTCTTATGGTTCGGACGTAAAATGTACTTCCCACAGGGCCCTGTGTTTGAACTTGGTCCCCAGCTGGTGGCATTCTTCTGGGAGGTGGTGGAGCCTTTTGGGTAGCTGGCCTTTCTAGCAGAAGTGGGCCTTGAAGGTGATGGCCACCTCCAGTTCCTGTCACTAGGGTGTGGACGAGCCCCACTGCAACGCCTCTCCACTGTAGACAGAGCCACGGTGGACACCAGGCCTTCCTCACCACGGTGGATGGTACACCCTGAACCAGGAGCCGAAACTCGCCTCTCCTGTAGGCTGCTTCTCGGGGTCCTTTTTGTCAGTTGAGAAAGGTAACCAGCACACCCATTTCCTTTTCCCCCTTGTGTCCTGATTCTCTTTTCTGCAGCTTTGAAATAAAATCTTGGTTTGTGCTCATGATCTGAGGAAACTTAATAACTGCCTGTCAGGGAGAACCTGTCTGATAACTGCTGTAATAATAGTGTGAAGAGCCAGGACGAGTGATGGTTGGAACTCACCAAGGGCAGGCCTTAGCTGGGTGAGTTTGGGAGCCAGGAGGGCACAGGTTGGCACCCTGTGTTAAATGACTGCAAGCCAGGAGACAAGGCAACAGCAGGGCGGAGAATCCCAAGTGCCTACGGCTTGTACTCTGGCACCTAAGATATCAAAGGACCCCCATGAGATGGGAATATGAGCTAGCACTGATCCTAGCAGCTTCCTGGATTTGCAAATGAGGAGAGCCAGTGCAGGCAGCATTTGGGAGTGGGGTACAGAGGACCAGGGAAGAATCCAGAGATCAGAGCTTGAACGTCCAGCAGCAGACTGGAAGGGCTGGATGCTTTGAGACTGGGTCTCACTACAAGGCCTAGGCTAGCTTCAAACTCTCTGGCTCCCGACTACTGTTCAGCAGCTGCACTGCCATGACAGGCTTCATAAGCTACTATAGGCCTGAGTTTCTGTTTTCTGCTAATGTCCCCGCAGTTTCTTAGATCATGTTTCTATTTCTCAGAACATGAAACTGTCGTCTGTGGCAACACGATACAATAACTCAGTAACCTCCCTGAAAATCAGAAACAATAATCTAGTAATTGCCTTGAAAAGTCCCCAAGCGCTAGACCAATCGAATGAAAGGTTAATTAGAAACACTTTGCTTAGCTAGTCAAAATAATATTGTTACCTGGGCACTTTTTGTTAACACTCTGTTACCTGGGCATACCTTGGTCCTTGGACACTCCATGAAGTTCCCCCAACCCCTAGATCACCACCTACCAACCAGTCAGTTTATGACAAGCATGCTTCTGCTAAATGTGAACCAATCATGTAACTGAAAGCCCCACTCCTTGCTCAAACCATAATAAAAACCCAGCTTTGCAGCTACTCCGGGCCCCCTCCCTAATCCATTGCTTTGGACTGGACAGCAGGAAGCTCTGAAATAAAGGCTCTTTGTTCTTGCATACATGGACAGTCTCCTGGTGGTCTTTGTGATCTGGGCATAACATTTTTTAACATTAAAGACATGCACCACCATGGCCAGCCGAAGGGAGTTTTTCTGGGAGTTCCACAGGTGGGCTGGTAAGAATTCCCGGGGACAGTCAGCATATTCCTGTGGGAGTTAGTTCCCTCCCGTATGCAAATACAAGCAATGGGGATTTTAATCCCAGAGTTCTGCTTCTGCCAGGTGGGAAATCCGTGGGAGGTGTACCTTGGGGAGGCTCCGTTTCCTCTCAAGTCCTGCTTAGGGGTGTGGTAAGATTATTCCGGGGAGCTGGGTACAGTATCAGGTACCTGTTATCCCAGTACTCAGGAGACTGAATGGTGCGACCTGGAGGAGCAGTCTGAGTCACAGTGAGACCACTCCTCTTGCCTGAGATGTGGGGCCTACTGATTCCTTGCTGAGTTCGGCAACACACAGCAGCCACTGCCACCTCCTCTGGGTGCTAGGGAGCATCCAGCATCCAACATCTTTGGCACTTTGCCTTAAGGTGAGAAATAGAGGAGGACCTCTTCCCCAGAAATGTCCCTCACTAAATATAGTGCGGGCTGGAGAAAGGTGTGCCTCAGCTGCCCCCTCTGAACGAGCGCATCTGGGCACCAGCTATGGGAGGCAGAGCTGGAGTAGCTGCAGCCCTGCCCCATTTCCATGTCATCTCCTTAAAGCAGCTGCTGGAACCTTTTCCCAGGCTCCCTCACATTACACATTTCAGCCGCTCTGCATGGGCTGCCAGAAGGAGTTACTGTAAAGCGGCTGTGGGTCGTGTGTGTGTGTGTGTGTGTGTGTGTGTGTGTGTGTGTGTGTGAGAGAGAGAGAGAGAGAGAGAGAGAGAAAGGAGAACTGACAATATAAAGAGTCTTTATTGACATGAAGATCCACATGGTCAGCCCTGCCCTCCTTGCAAACATACTAGGTGTCGCAAAGGTGAGACATGCAAACATTGCTAAGCCTGGTCCCAGAACACAATCAGATTGCAGTCTGCCATCTGCCACCCCTACCACCCAGCCACCAACCAGAACCAGCTCCATCCCGTTCCCTTGCTCTCGACTTGGCGCTGTTAGCAGTGATGTCCACCAGGACCTGCCACTGGGCAGCTGTGTTTGTTTATCGGGATCCCCACTTCCACATCCTGGGAGCCCTGGCTTCAGATCACATGTGGGCAACCGGCCGTGACTGTGGCTCCTTTGGGCAATCGAGTTTCTTGGGTCCTTGTTGCTCTCCACAGCTGAGCCAAGCTGGGACAGCAGACTCTGCCTCCAGCCTGAGCCCACAGTAGCTGGCCAATGAATGCCCCCCTTGGGACAATACCTGTCCTCCCTCCCCTTCAAATTTGCACCAGTTTTTAGGGCCTCCCAAGCCACTTCCAGGCCAGCTCTGAGTTTCTAGGCCTAGCTTCCAGCTCAAGGAGAGTCAAGGAGCTTCTAAGAACCTTGGGTAACAGGTATATTTGGTGAGCAAGATGGGCCTGAGTAGGTACAGCAGCAACAGGTAGGAGAGCACAGGGCTTAGGAGCATCAGCATTGCTGTGGGACAAAACATACTGAGCCCCTGAATCCCTTGTGAGAGAGGTGAGCCTGGGCAGAGGTGGGGCAGGCAGCCAGGCTCCAAGCCCCTGGGGTCAGGCCAAGTTCACATCTCCTATTCACCAGTCTCTGGATTTCTGGGAAAGCTGCCAGCTGGGCCGCCTCCCAGGAGGTACTTCCCTGTCTTGGATGAACCCTGGCCTCAGCACAGACCTCGGCCACAACAGCACACTCCATTACCTAAGAAACTGCTGTGCACGGGGTGCCCGCAGGCACCTCAGTGGTCTGGCTGGAAAGAGAACGGCCAGGGGTCTTGCCCTCCCCTGACAAGTTTGAGGGTGTCCTAGTTGCTGAGGGGAGGCTGGCTTCTGGTGGCATCTCCCCAGGACAGCTTTTCAAGGGCCCCAAGAGGCTCCCCAGGGATTGTGAGCTCTCATCGTAGCAGCAGCCACAGCAGGGGCTAGCAACAACATTGATCTGGCCGCCTTCCTCCTGGCTGTGGTGCTGCTTCAGGTGGCCACACAGGTGGCAGGTAACAGAAGAGTAGACAATGCCAAGCCCCAGGTCATCCCCAAGGGGCTTGGTCACCTGATCTGTAGAAGGAGGGGCCTTTGGCCTGTCACCTCCTTTCAGCCCCAGCTTCAGATCAAAGCACTCTGGGGTGCTGCTGGGTGGGGCCGAGTTCAGAGGACTGGGTGGCAACTTCATGTCCAGTCCGAAGGTGAATAAGGGCACGGAGCTAGGAGACTGGTTAGGGCCAGGGTTCTGGAAAGGCTTGTAGCCTCCATGCCCTCCGTCAGTCCCTGGTTCTGCTGTGTGCGTGCAGGCGCCACCGTTGCTGAGCAGGCTTGAGAAAGCCTTGTAACCAGTGTCTCCAGAAGGCCTGAAGCAGGGCTCCCCGGGGTCCTGGGTGGCATTCTGCTTCACTGCCTGGGCGAACTCCCGGTAGCCACTGGTAGGGGCTGGGACGGGGCCAGCTGCCCCATGCTGCAGGATACTCAGGTGCAGGATCTGCTCCCAGCTTTCCACTTGCTGCACAGGTGGCCCTGAGGAATGGGGGTCAGTGGGGCTTGGAGGGTCCCCTTCTTCCAGGTGTTCAGCCTGCAGCTGTTCTGAAGCCAGCTCTCCGGGCTGAGGGGCCGCCGGGCTGCAGAAGTCGCTAAAACTACGGTAGGCAGGATTGTCTGTGATGACAGGTGGCGTCTGTGTGCAGGCCAGGTCGCTTGCACTGTGGGCTGAGCTTCCTGAAGGAGGGCCTGGGTGTGAAGGCTGCCCTGGGGCCTGGCACGAGGCCTCCTTGGGCCCCATGGGGAAGCAGGCAGAGGGCAGAGAGGCTTGCCTGATTTCTGAATGCAGAGGAGAGCACGACTTCCCCAAGCTCGACTGGCCAACGCCCCCATCCTCAGCCTCCAACAAGTCTGAAAACAGGTTCTCAGTGAGCCGGGCCATGATGTCTGCCTGACTCTCCTGGAAGCCACCAGCACTGTTTTCAGGTACTGTGCTCAAGTCCGCCTTGACCTTCTCCTCCTCCTCCTCCTCCTCCTCCTCCTCCTCAATCTCTACGGGGGCCTCAAACAGCTCCATACAGCGCACCACACTGACAGTGACATTCTCTGGCCAGAGGATGGTCCTGCTGACCTCCACAGGACACCAGGCTGCCTTTCCAGGACTCTGGGGAGGCCCCATTTTTGCAGCCTTCAGGGGTTCTGCCTCCTTCTTCACAACGTGCTCCAGCAAGCAGGGCAGCAGCTTGGTCAGACAAGTCTTCCAGCGCCTGCAGAAGCAATACATAGGATTCAGTTTTGCCACACTTGAAAAACTCCTGTTCATCCTCTAGAACCCTCTATGGAATCACCCTGTATTAATATTGGGGTGTGATAGACACAGCTTCTGATTTTACAGTCAACACTCAGTCTGTTCTCACTGCAGAATGGGAACTCAGCCACCCACGATTGCCTCCTGCCACCCTTGGGGCCAAGAAGAGAGAAGACAGCCGTGTGGGGGACAGGAAGGGGAGGGGCCCTGCTATCAGCTGAGCAACCATCTCATTCTCACACTTCCCAAACCCACAAAAACTACTACCCGAGTTCAAGTTCAGATACATACGGGCACTTGGTTGACTCCCGGCTTCGGGTCTGCTTTTCCCAGAGGGACACCTAAAACGGACAGTCAATGAGAGAGTGGGTGCTGGCCATCAGCCCAGCCCAGAAGACTCAGTGTCTTCAAGAGAGCATATGTGCCTGGACAGCTGAGGCCCACACAGGCCCCACAGAGCTCCGGGAGCCTCAGTTTCCCAGGAGTGAAACTGCATCAGGGATGACGAACACCCAGATCCTCCAGCTCCACTGTGCCATCCCTGACGCTGACCTGGCCCACAGGACACGCTGTGACCAGCAGAACATGGCAGGAGATTAATATCAGGCCCACGTGGACTCGGGCTTTGCCACTGTCCCCTGTGGTTTGTTGCCACCCACGCACCACCCTGCTTAGCTCTGGAGCCCTGGCAGTCCGCTCCTCGCCCCCACCCCACCCATGGCTGGGAGTTACAACACAGAACCCCTGCACTCGCCTACCTGTGCATCCTGAATGATGATGGCCACCAGGGGACTGCGTGCTGGGGTGGGAATTTGGTCCCACCACATTTTCTTAATCCTGAGGGTGGAAAGGAAGCGGGTTGGTCTCCGAGTGTACAGTGGCCAAGGCGCTCTTCCAAGTGTCCTGGCCGACACTCCTCCCAGGCCGGCGAGGACACGCTGATTCCATTTTGGATAAGCAACAATATCGGTCCTAACCATTCATTACCATCGCCATTCTAAACGGGGAGAGGCCCGGGGCCAGTGCGATGCTGGCAGAGCTGCTTTGCAGACTCACACTTTTGGCAGTCTCTCTGAGGACGTCTCTGCCCCCAGGGGAAAAGCAAAGACTCAAGCTGCACAGCAAGGATCCTGCTCTTCCAAGAGTCTCTTTGTAGGAGCAGAAGGAACATTCTACCACACTGTGCTGATTCGAAAACTTAATAGAAGGCTTGGGTGGAACTCAGAGTGGTATGTGTAAGGCCCTGGGTTCCAAAACAATTAAAAAACAAACAAACAAACAAACAAAAACAACAATGTAGAAGTGTAGAGAGGAAGGTGGGAGGGAAAAGCAAGGCTGGGGGTAGCAGGGAGTAGCCCAGAAAAGGTCCAGAGACAGCACTTTTAGGGTGGGGACATGGCCAAGACTCCATGGGAAGAACAGGCCATGTGCCTTTGAGAACTGCAGGCTGCTCGGTGCAGGGACATGGGATGGCAGAAGGGAAGGGCAACAGAACACAGGGAAACTCAGGTTCAGAGTCTGGCTCCTAGCTCAGGCTGACTGACTGAGCGGAGATCTGGCATCTCCTGCAAACTCAGCCAAGTGTGGGCACTTTCATGGCACCAGTCCTCAGTTGTTTCTAATCTCATCTCACAAAGGACATGACTCTGGGCCTGAGAGTCCAGGGTAGAACTCACCAGAAAGGAACCTTCCCCATTTACCAGCCCTTGCCCGGGCTCCCCGGGGGTCTTGTTCTCATGGCTACCCTGAGCCTATAAAGGAGCCAGATTATGGGGCAATTTGCCAGCCACCTGCTGGCAAGCTCCGCTGCCAGGCCTCACTTACATCCTACTATGTTCACTCCGTCTGCTCAAATACCTCTGCTCCTACCACATGCCCAGTGCCTGGACCATACTATGGGCAGTGAGAGGAACCCTCTGTGACAAAGAAAGACCCTTCCCCAGCCCCAGCTCCTTGTCTCTAGAGCACCCACCATTACTGGCCCCGGCTGGCTCTTCTCTCCAGAGCACAGCTACTGTAGCAGACCCTCGAGCCACTGGCTGACCCGCCCTGAGAGGCAGACTTCGGGCCCGGGATCCTTCCATCCTTGTCTCAGCCAGCACAGTGGCCATTCAGCGACTGCGTGAATGACAGCCGGGACAGGTAAGCACACGATCCTGGCCCTGCTCACCCAGGGGCCAGCTCAAGGCACCAGCCAGAGCAGGAACTCACTTGGTGATGCTGAAGTAGCACGACAGGCAGAAAACCAGGATGCAGAGGCAGGAGATGCCCACCCCAAGCGGGAGGCGCTGAGCCAGGGGCGGCTGGAAGGCTGCAAGGTGAAAAAGAACCATGAACCGGGAGCCCGCCCTGTGCCACGCGCAGCCCTCACTCACTCGGGGTTCCTCCCGGGACCCTCGGTTACCCGGCTGCAGACAGCCCTCCCACCAGTCTGCCTAACTCTCCCTGCTATGCACCCATCCTTGTCCTCACTGTTCCTGATGCAAGTGCAGATCACAACGGCTTGAAGTGCGGCTCTTGTTTTCCGAAGCCAGGAGGTCAAGTGCACTGGAGGACCCGAGGTCAGTCTGGGGGACCAGTCTCTATCAAATGCTTGCAAAGCGACCCGGGGCAAGCTGGTTACTCCCTTGGGGGTCTCATCTGCTCAGTGGGGAGCTAGAAACATAGGGGCTTTTCTCACAGGCTGACAGGACCATGTGATTTAAAAGCTCGCACAGTCAGTGTGAGCAGAGGATTGTCTTCCTTGTTCAGTGACTCTGAGAAGGTTTCTCTGACACAGCCTCGAACCATCTCCTCCACCCCTCCACTTTGCCTCCCTTCCTTCCTGGCACCGGCCTTCATCCGGATCCACTGGTTTCTCTGTTTAAGTTTGTGGTGTTCGATCAACTTTCACTCTTTTGTTCATGACGTGTGTGTTGGGGTGTGAGTGCAGGAGTGTCAGCCACGAGACATGTGTCTTGGTCCTTGCCTTTCACACAGTTTCAGGTAGGCCTGTTCTCACCAGTGTCTACACAGGCTAGCTGGCCACCAGCTTCTCCTAACTTCTCTGTCAGGATTACACACGCATGGTACCTCACAAGGCTTTTATGTGGGCTCTGGGGATGCAAATTCTGGTCCTCATAGCACTGAACCCTCTCCCACTTTTGACGCATGTCAGACCCCACCACCCCAGGGTTCCTTGCTGGAGCATTCAGTCACAGCTTGTCAATATTTGCTGAAAAACAATGTGTATCTGACAATAACAATGTCGTGTGTCTGCTCTGTCCAAGCTCACCCCTCCTCAGCAGTACCACTGAGTCAACCTCACACAACCTTCCCCAGTCCGGATGACATATCTGTTGCACGCTGTATACACGGAAGACTCAGACAGTCTGCAGCGCTCAGACCGACAGTTTCCCAGCGAACTCAACAGTGACCGACCGCCATGGAAACTGAGGGCCTATTTGTTACTGCAGCTCTCTGACCACTACACCGTAGCCACAGGGATGTATGGTCAGAGGGATCCCAGGACTGAAAACCCCGAGGGTCAGCCAGAGGGAATTCCTGACTAGAGAGTGTACTATACATGGCTGCAGCGATCCTCACAGCCCAAGGTCCTGATACTCACTGTTGAGCCAAGTGGTGCTGGGACTCCATTCACTCCAGAGGCCATTATCGAAGCTGTGCGCCAAGACCCTCACACGTGCCTGATAGTACACCCCCAGCTTCAGGGAGTTGGTTGGGAAGTTCAGCCTGGGTTCCACGTAGGTCACGTTATAGACTATGAACTGAAGGACGACAGGGGCATATGAGTGCACGGCGGGCAGGGACGCATCGTGCGGGTTCCTGCTGCCCCGAGGGAGCCCTCTGTGCTGGGCACGTGATTATTCCCACATCCCTGCCACCGCTAAGAGGTGTCAGCCCTCCCCCGACTCCTCCCATGACTGGCCACGTGGCAGCAACTAGTATCTGGACAAGTGGATTAAACTGGTTTTTAACACATTGTAAACTAAAGCTAAGCTGTATGACCCGAGTAAGTGACCTCAGAGGGGTCACTTTTTGCTTTCTGGTCATCTCACCGGTGGGAGTGCTAGGAAGGAAGGGTAGAGAGACATGGGTAGCAGGAAATGACCTCTACCTGCTTCTAAAGCAGGGGCCAGGCAGCCATGACAGACACCTGCCTTTCTTTACCTGATGACACCTTTCTGTGTATGTGGCTGGGGGAGTTTCTGTTTGTTTGTTATTGTTTGAAAGGGTCTGTGTAACCCAGGCTAGGCTGGAACTTCCCATCCTCCTGCCTCAGTCTCCTGAGGGTTGTGGTTACAGGCATATGCCACTACACCCAGCTCAACTCTACTCTCACCTACGCTCGAAAGACAGGTCACCAGGAATAACACACAAAGGCAAACGTGGCCAAGAGTGCGCCCAGCATGAAGTGACTACTCTGCCACCCATTACCTCATGTGTCCCCTGCTGGGCCCAAAGCCCCTTACTAACAGAATTAAGATGGCAGGGCTACATCCTCCTCCTGACACTATGGTCCGGATCTGGAATGTGCTCTAGGGTCCACATGGTAAAGGCTTGGTCCCTAGAGTGGAGCTTCTGTGGGATGGTGGCACCTAGTGTGAAGAGGGTGAGTCCGGGGGCATGTTCTTGGGGGCTATTTAGGCAGTGGGCGCATGCTTGTGTGTGCCCTTCTCTTTCTGTCTCTGCTTCCTGGCCACCATGAGGTGAGCGGCTCTGCTCTACCACGCTCCTGTTTGCCATGTGCTTGCCTCAACACTAGGCCCAGACTGTTGGGGCCAAATGACCACGGACTGACCTCTAGGAAATCATGCATTTAAATAAACCCTTCCTCTTACAGTTGGTGTTCTCAGCACTTTCTCTTAGTGATGGAAAACCAGCCAACACCGCTGCACACTGAAAATTCAGGACCAGGAAGGGAAAGGACATACGTGGGGCGGAGCCCAGCTGGGAATTAGCTCTCTAGGTCACTCTCCTGCCCCGTACCCTCTCCCAAGCCCCCAACTCCAAAGATGGAGCCTTCCTTCCAAGCCCTGTTCCCAGACGATGACAGGGACCCATGGCGTCCACTCACTTCTGAAGGGTTGTCTTCTCTGGAGATGTTAACCATGTAGATGAGCTCGCTGTGCAGGAAGTTGCTCGGAGGGTATGGGTTGCTCCACGTCAGCAGCCATGCATTGGAGATGTTGGTGTGGAGCGTGAGGTTGCTTGGAGCCGGGGGCTTCACTGGGGAGGAAGGGCGTGAGGGGCTTGAGCCCTGAGGCCTGTTTTTAGTGTCCCTATTAACAACTTCATCTCTTCTTCCATTTTAGGGAAGGCTGGCCTCAAACTTCCTGATCCTCCTTCCTAGACTCCTCAATGCTGGCACTATGGGAGTGTGCTTCCTCACCAGCTTCATCACTTGAGTAATCCTACCCATGAGATCACAAGAGTGGAGTACATGTTAAAGCCAACATGAAAAATGACTTCAAACTCATGCATGGGTTAATTCCAGCAACTTGTAGGTCTCAGCATCTATTCTAACCACAGACAGGAAACCGTGAGATCTTCAATTCTGCCTCTGGCGCTGAGAAGCTGTGTGACCTAAGGCAAGCTGCGTGCCTACAAAACAAGGACAAGGGAGCTCTTCTGGAAGCTGAGGTCCAGATAAGTAATGTGATTTGCCCTTGGTCACACAGCAACGAAGTCTTGCTTTAGATTCCTGTTGTAACTACTCCTTCGTGGAGATGTAGCTCAGTGGTAGAGCATGTGCCTAGCATCTGGAATGCCCCATCCTCCATAATACAAATAAACAAACCATCTAGGGGCAAGCTTGTAATTGGGATTGCTTCGGGGATTCCAGGCAGAGGAAGGTCAGCCTTCCACGGTCAAGGTCAGATGACAAACCATCCGCTGGCCTGCAGCCGGCGTGCACCCCACCTCCCTGCACTGGAGCACCCAGCCAGGCCTTACCCCTATCACTGGGCCTGAAGGAGCCGTACCACAGCAGTCGCTGCTCAGCCCACAGCTGCAGCTCGTATGTATCCGCCTTGACCAGGTCAGCTGTGACCATGTGACACGCACACGCCGTGCTGCCGAGGCTCTCAGGGATGCATGTCCGATTCCTGCGGGCACAGGCAGGATTGGAGAACGGCCTGTGGTAGCCAGCTTCCCAGTCACCTGACAGGAAGACCGGAGCAGCCAGGACCGGGGGGGGGGGCGGGGGACAGGACTTGGGGTTGCTGCTGACCACAGCTCTTGCCCACCACATTCTGGACACCTCTGGACACTGCGGTTTTGGCTGCAGACCTCAGTGCCAGGACTCAGGTCATCTAAGTAATTCATGGTGTCCCAGCAGCCCTTGGTTTACAGTGGACTGTGATACACCTCCCATAGGCCCCTGCCCTGTGTACATCAGTATAATTCTGCCAACGGGACACTAGGCAGGCCACCCATGTCTCATGGGCTGGACCAGGGGCCAAAACTCATTTTCAGTAAAAGGTCAGACAGGAAATTGAAGGCTTTTGAAGACAATATCGCTTCTGTCACCACAACAAACTGCTGATGTAGACCTCAGGCAGCCACAGACATGACAGAGATGAGTGAGATGGTGTGTGCTAATAAAACTTTATTCATAAAAACAGTAGTCTGCCCGCTGTGGTCGTGTGTGTGTGGTGATTCCAGCACAGAGGCAGGCAGATCTCCGTGAGTCTGAGGCCAGCCTGGTCTACATAGCAAGTTCCTGGGATCCTGTCTCAAAAAACAAACAAAACCAAAAAATAAGTAGTGGCCAATTGACCTGAAGTCCACAGTTTGCCAGTGCCTGGTCTGTGCCAATGTGTAAACGCACAGCTCGCATGCCTTAAGGCAATAAGAGAGTGCAGGGTCACCCTGCAGGCATTAGGGCAGTGTCCGTGTAACTCTGGGTGCTCTTGAGTGCTGGATCTGCGGACTTGGTTCTGTCCTTGGCACAGTGCCCACAGAGCACCTGGAGGCCAGGGAATGACCCAGAGCGAACCCTGGATATCATGCCTGCATGCCCTGCCACCCACCTTCACGGCAAATTCCACAGCCTTGTCCCACGGCTAAACATGCTCAGGGGTCACCAGTCAAACTGTTCCGTGGTTCTAACACGTGGATCTTGGGGACTAAACTGAAGCCATCAGGCACATGCCTTTGTCAGCTGAGCCATCTTGCCAGCTTTATTTGTGGGGTTTTTGTTTGTTTGAGACAAGATATAGCACCAGCCCTTGCTAACTTTAGGTGCAAAAGTTAGAGAAGTGCTGGTCTAGTCCAATATTCCAGCCACACGATACATTAACCATGGGTCCTGAGCCCTACATTGTCTTCTGTATCCTGTGTGTGTGTGTGGGGGGGGGATTTCGCTGGGGGTTGGTAACGGTCATCCATCAGGCAAGCACTCTACCACTGAGCTACCTTGTCAGCCCAAGCAGGCCTAGAACTCGTGATCCTTCAATCTCAGCTAATCAAGTTGCTGGGCTAAAGGTCCACCAAGCTCCAACTCAGCTCAACTGTGTGGATATGTTATCTCAGACCTGGCTCCGCCTCAGACATCACTCAGTAAGCTGCCGAAAACCACACAGCGTGGCACATCCTGGTGCTCCTGTGGAGCAGCGCAGGCCTGGACAGACCTCCTCCGGGAACTGCCTCCCGACCCTACTTACTCGAAGAACTCGAAGAACTCGTAGTTCAGCCAGTAGGACAGGCGGAGCTGAGAACTGCAGTCAACAGCGCTGTCCAGCTGCCATTCACAAGTGGAAGAGTTGATGTAGTTGGAGAAGCAGGTAGGCTCGCCCAGGACCTTGATGCTCCCTGCAGACAGGATGGCCTGAGCAGTGGAATCACAGCCAGGGGCTCCCCCCACCAAGGTCAGAGGGAGGCTGGTACAGATAGGACCAAGAACACACGCCTGCACACGCACACATGAGCACAACAGACATAGAGGCTGGGGGCCCGTGGAACAGCCAGTGAGTGTGGGGTCTTGCTAACTCTTGGGTGACCTGACTGCTATTTGGGGCCCTCAGGAACCTTTTGACCCAAGCCGTGCAAGGCGATGGTCCAGACAAATTCACAACTCACCCTCCAGTGGGTGTGGCCTGCCATGCAGGAAGTGTTCATACAGCAAACAAAATTCTGATCTCCTGACCCCCCTGTCCTCCCTCCCACTGCTTCCCTGGGCTTCCATCACACAGAACACTCTACCCTTGTCTGGACCTGGGGCAGAATTTTGTGTGTCCATTTGTGGTTGCTGTTGTTTTAACAATGTCTCTATAGTTACCCCAGGCTGGCCTCAGACTCACTGTGTAACCCAGGATGCCCTCAAACTCACAATCCTCCTGCTTCAGTCTCCCAAGTGCTGGGCTGACAGGTGGAAAGCCACACCCAGCCACATGGATGAGAAACCTTGAAGTCAATTTTCCATGTGTCTTCATGATGACCTTTCTAGACTGATCCAGAAACTCTTTGCCTTTCCAAATCTCCACGAAACTCTGGTCTCAAGTCCTTTGTTCTGACTCTGCAAGCTCCTCTGACTCAGCAGCCCTGTGACACGTTCCCCAACCCCATGCCAGGCAGGCTCTCCCCAGGTGTCGGGAGGCATCACCAAGAATGCACCCGCAGACCCTGCCATGCCCTCCGTTGCCTTCCTTCAAGTTGACCCACTGGCTCTTGGGCACACTTGCTTTAAATCGCAATGCCCTCCACCCTGCCTCCCACCCCTCAGGCTTCCCTTACTCAGTTCTGAGCTGTGTTTTCCCACCATCTTTTGGCATAACCTTTGGTATATAGCTCAGATTATTCTCTGCGCGATTCCAGGGCAGCCTCAATTTTCAACTTGGATTAGCATCAATGAAAATAACTCGTCAGGGCCATATGTCATCAGCTGTCCCCCCTCTGCTACCACATAATCCCCACAAGGGTTTTGTTCTGCTCAATGATGTACCTCAGGCCCTTGACATGTCGTTAGGGCTGATGAATGGATAAGAGTTGATGACTTACCGCAGCCAGCCACCCACAGCAAAACCAGACAGCTCACAGAGGACAGGAATTTGATACAAAGCCACCCCATTGGGGACACGGAGGTGCCTGCAGAAAGAAGGGTCGGTGAGTGCTGATCTGGGATCAGTGGGGTTCATTTCACTCGTGACATAGCTCCCATCCCCCATGTCTCTCTTCCTTCTCCACACAGAGTCAAAGACCATGTATACTGGCTGGTTTTGTGTGTCAACTTGACACAAGTCATCAGTCATCAGAGAGGAAGGAGCCTCAGTTGAGAAAATGCTTCATGAGATCCAGCTGTCAGGCATTTTCTCAATTAGTAATCAATTGAGGGTCCAGCCCATGGTGGGTGGCGCCATCCCTTGGCTGGTGGTCCTGGGTTCTATAAGAAAGCAGGCTGAGTAAGCCATGAGGAGCAAGCCAGTAAGCAGCGTCCCTCCATGGCCTCTGTATCAGCTCCTGATCCAAGTTCCTGCCCTGTTTGAGCTCCTGTCCTGACTTCCCCCAATGATGGATGGTGATCTGGGGGTGTCAGCCAAATAAATCCTTTCTTCCCCAACTTGCTTTTTGGTCATGCTGTTTTTGTCACAGCAATAGAAACCCTGACTACAACACCCTGCCACTGTTCGCCTGTCCCAGGAGAGCTGTGGCACACAATCACGACTTTCTCAAGTTCAAATCCTGGCTCCCTCCCATACCAGCTGTGAACCTGAGCAAGCTGCACCCGGTGCCTCAGTTTCCCTATCTGCTAAGTGGCCATCTGCTGACAGCCCTATCTTAGTGGGTGCTGGCAGCGTAAATAAGCAGACAAAACAAGCAGGGCCTGGCAGCTCTCCAGCCGGCTGGCTCAGGAATAAAGGCTCAGTTTGGGGGAAGACAGGGAGGTGTCACAGGGAGGGAAATAACATGGAGACCCCGAGTCCAGGAGTGCTCGGGGCTGGGAGCAGCTTAGTGCTTGCTTGGCATGCACCAGACCCTGGTTTCACCTCCAGCATGAATGTGGGGGAAGGAAGGGAGGGGGAGAGGCTCAAAGTAGAAGGAAAGAAAGGAAATGGGGGGGGGGGGGAATAGAAGAGAGAAAAGAGGAGAGGGAGGGAGACGGAGGAGAGGAAGAAAGAAAAATGCTGCAAAAGGAGAGCTGTGTACCATTATCCCCCCCCCCCCCGCCCCGAGCAGCACTGAATGAGTGCCCAGTGTGGTCCCTGTCCTTCCCCTCCACCCCCCGCTTGGGTCTTGATTTCCAGGTCATATCTAAATTTGCAGCCCCAGAACCATTTGACCCCTGAGCAGCTGTAAGCCCACAGCTGGGTTCTTCATCGTCTGGAGTTCTATTTCCTTCTGCTTCATCGACCTGTCAGGCTAGGCCTGGCAGAGCCCCACAGAGGAAGCAAGGCACAGGGTGGACATCCAGTCACACATGAGCCCAACTCCAGCCACCAACGGCTCATGCCATCAACAACCCTGCTGGCCACCGTCCTGGCGGTGCAGTGAGCACTCAAGGCAGAGAAGTGTCCACACTGTCACCAGTGGGAATTCCTGAAGTGACTGTGCTTGGGAGTGACGCAGCCCTCAAGCAAGGCCACACAGTGACCCAGTGACAGCTACTAGACTTCTGCAGCTATTGCAAACCCGAGGGACTGCCTTCTCATGCCAGTCCATCATAACCCAACCGTCCTTACGCGCATGTCTGCAGTTTCAGACTGAGGCGCCTGCTGCTCCTGAGGAGAAAGGTCAGTTTCAGGAGAGTGAGCAACAGATGAGCTTAGCGGAGTGTTCAAAGAAAGAGGAAACTTGGGGAGATAACGGCAAGGCTCGGGAAGCCCAGCCTGGAGCTGAGAGACGTCTGGCACGGTTGGTTTGCTGATCTGGATGGGGTCACAGTCCACACACTGTGGATGGTGATAGAGGAAGACATTCCACATCAACCTTTGGCCTCCACAAATGCACGCAGGATAAGGGGAAACTGGTGGTTTAGGGGCCCTTGCTGTTTCTCTATCATTTTAACAACTGCATTAAGTTCCAGAACAGTCAGGGCCACGCAGAGAAACTCTGCCTTGAAAAACCAACCAACCGACCAAACAAACAAAAACATTAAAAAAAAAAAAACTGCATTAAATCTCCAACGATCTGAAAATAAGGTTTAAATTTAAGAAACAGGAAAAAAAGAAATCCCAAGCCCCCTGTGGCATGGCTTCTAAGGCTCCCCTCATAATCCCGAGGCCCCACAAGCCTCCAGGGCCCTTGGAGCAGTGGTCCTTCTCACTGACGACTCAGGAACACTCCAGTGAGCCATGTCTGCCCCCGCCCCCACGTGCTGAGGGCTCCCCTGCTCTGTCATCACAGAACAACCAGCCCTGCCTCAGTCTGGACAACCTACACCCTGACAAGGGAGGCTAAGCAAAAATGTTTCTGGCTCCAGCACAGGGATGATGGAGAGAGAGAGAGAGAGAGAGACTGGATTGGAGAAAGGAGAACGGAAGGGGGCCAAGGATGAGGCTCGGTAAAGCTCATGCCGAAACTTACAGAGGGGCCTAAGTTCCATCCCCAGCCAAGAAAATGGGAAAAACGAAAACAAGAAAAGACCAGAAGAAGCAACATACAAAGAGTTGATAGCTTCAACCCACAAAGATCCTACAAGCCAGTGTGAGAAAAACAGGCGAAGTATACAAACAGTTTACCAGAGAGGCTGGGACAGAAGGAAGATGTGGAACCCCACTAGGATGATTCTGGTTTGAGAAATGGATGCAGAAGGGGTAACCTGTGGCCAGGCATGGCAGTAAATGCCTGTAATTCCAACATCTGGGGGGCAGAGGATTCAAGGCCAGCCAGCAAAAACACGGTGAGACTACTAACCCCTCTCTGAAACAGAAAAGGATCTGGTCGTTTAAATCATGTCACCAGGGGTACTCTGGATCTGTCCCCAGGAGGGCATGAGAAGACAAGTCTGTGTCTGCCCCCATCACTACTTTGTCTTCAGTGCCCAGAACGCTGCCTGGCATATTATGTAGTGGGCGTTCAGCAACTGTCTGTTAGGGGGCGAGTGGTGAAAATTAGGAGAGAACAGACTCAAGCATCTAAACACAGACCTAGGGCCATGCCTCTGCCCAGATGGCTACATGTGATGCTGACCGTGACCCTAGCCTACTTCTCATACAGCCTACGAGGCAGGTGCCGTTAGCATGCCATTCCCTGGCAAGAATGCAGAATGCCACTCTGCATTCTCTGAAGCGCAGAGTTGGTGGGATGCCTGCCAGGGTCCCAGAACAAGAACGGGAGCCACAGTCTTCGGGCTTGACCACCCTGCTGCCTCCTGAAATGCTGTGCAGATGTCAACATCACGAGCTGCACATGAAGAGGAAGCAGGGTCAAGAGGCTGTGGTGGCTTCTGAAGCAACTGACCCGAGATTCCGGCCGTAAGTAGGCCTGCAGCTCCCTCTCCACTTCAAGACGGCTGGGCTGGGCTGGCTGGGGGCCAAGGACACATTGCTCCTAAGCAGCAGCCACTGGGGTTCCCAGAACCAGTGGCCACGTCAGCAGCCCCACCTCAGACAGGGAGGCAGTGCAGGCCAGGGTCCCTATCTGTGCTGCCTTAGCCCAGGGAGGGGCTGGCATAGCCTGCTCCTGCTCCTGTCAGTGGAGCAAGAAGCCCATAGCCCCTGCCTGCCTCCCTGGGTTTCCATTCTTGTCATAAGTACTTCAAAGCACCAACTATGTACCATCTCCTACAGTTGTAAACACCACTGTTCACCTCCATTATTGTTCTTCCTTTCCCTGGGGACAGCGGACTGAACCCAAGGTCCGGTGCATGCTAAGCAAGCACTCTACACCCAGAGCTAATGCCCAGTCATGTGTGTCTATGTATTCTTTTGAGTCAGGGTCTTACTACATGGCAGAGTCTGGCTTTGAAGTTCCATCCTGTAACCCAGGCAGGCTTTGAACTTGCAAATCTCGCGTCTCGCTCTTGAGTGGCTGGAGGCACGCACCAGCAGCTAGCCTCATTCCTTTATTCTTTTAACAAGTACCCGGGGGGGAGACGAGAAGATACAAGTGTTAAGCAAACATGCGATTTCAGGAAGGATTCTGTGGCTGGTGGTGCGCAGGATCTAGGTGTCAGGGATGCAAGTTAGGCCAGGTGGCAGGCAGCTGCACCAGTGCCGGCAAAAGGCTCCAATGCTCTCACCGGGAAGGGATGACGGGGAAGAAGGACTGAAAACCTCACCATCAAGAATTGCTAACACAAAGGCCCGCTGTGGTGGTGAATGCCTTTAGTCCCAGCAAGGGAAGGCGGAAGCAGGCAGACCTCCCGGGAACCAAGACTCTGCTTTCAAGGCGCCTCACAAAGGCAGTACAATTCCATGCCCATATTCTCAAAGGAGGCCTGGAGGGAAGGTTACTGACCCACCAGACAGCAGGGAGGGCCTGGAGCTTCCTGCCAGCACCTGAGCTCTTGGCTGGAGTGAGCTGCAGGTGCAGTCGCAAAAAACGAGAGGCTGGCAAGGCTCGGGTGGAAGCACCATCTACCAGGCCGGAGAGACCAGGACTGTCTTGGGGCAACAGGGAGCCACTGAGGACCCTCAAGAAGCAGGAGAAGGAGGCCCTGTTGGAATTGGAGAAAGGGCAGAGCTAGCCACACTTGATGAATGGTGCAGAGGACAGTCCTGGGGCACCCTGCCACGGAACAGCCTACAGGAATGACACGAACTGTGGACCCTCGTCCGAGGGAACACTGGCCCCAGAGGCAGAATGTTCTAGCGGCTTGGAGACAGCCTGAAGTCCTGAGGAGATAGGTTCTAAAGCCCAGGAGGCTGTGCAGTGACTAAAGCCTCCTCCAGAAGCGACAGGGAACAACCACGGGGACAGAGTCACCAAATGCTAAGCGCTCCTTGACAGTTGACAAGGCCAACAGCACCCTCAGGATCCCTGGAGCCCATCGTATGGAAAACTCTAGAAGCCCAACAGAGTATCTCGGTCCAGCTGCTTTCAGCACTCACTCTGGCTCATTATCCTTGCGCAAGCCCTTTCCTTGTGAGCTCTGGTGGCACCTCTGTGTCACCCTGTTCCTGCTGCTTGGCAACCCCACGGCAGCCAGGACTACCGCTGTTCCGACATCCGGTGTGGGTACGAAGGACTTCCATGGAGATATGGAGACATGTTGATGCACGATGACCCCTCCTCTGCTAGAACTTTCCATCTGTGGCCCACAGCAAAGCTTTGGGCAGAAGCCAGCAAGCTGTGATCAAGCACCACGGTGGTCATTTACTTACAGCTCCAGAAAAAAAGGATGCATGGACCTCCTGAACACTGATTAGATTCTGTCTGGTGTGGTCTGGCCTCCACTAGGCTACCGCCAGAGATCTGCAGAAGGCAGCACTGTGGCTCCTACATGTCGCCAACCCTTCCACCTCTCCACAGCTGCGTGCAGCTTCCCTCCCGCTTAGGGACTGAACCCTGACACCAACTGAGAAGAACGTCCGTGCAGGTGCATCAGCTCCATTTTGGAGATGGAGCAACCTGCGCCCAGAGAGGTTCTGAACCTGGCATAAGGACGCACAGTTGGTGACAATTGTGCCTGGGATCTGAACCCGGGCCATCTGCCTGTGTAATTCTTGGTCCAGGGTCTGGGAGAGAGGTAGCAGAAAGTGGTCAAGCCAAAATTCAGGCTCTGCCACTGTTTCCACTCACTTGACTAGTGGTAACTGGGACTTTGTACCCATTCCCCACACCCACAGCAGACAACACTGGGTAAAGGTAAATCCCCATATGCCAGTTGCAGACAGGTGTGGTGAGGGCAAGGGGCCCTCATCTGCATTCTCCCTGCTGTCTCAACCCTGTATTGCTCTGAGCTGTGGCTCAGAGTAACTTCCATGTGGGCACAGACCCCGGAGCACCTAAGATAACAACGGCTCTAGGACAAAGTGCAGCTCCACCCTGACCGCCCAAGACCTGCAGGCTGAGGTCCTCTCAGAAGGCAGTTTTTCCTCTGGGAAGTGGGAACAGGTTCACTTGCCTTAGTGGGAGATTTCAAGACAGCAATGAAACTGACCATAGCCTGGTACAGGGCTCATAGAGCAGTGAGGAGAGAAAAGTCTGAGACCTAAAAGAGAAAAGAAGTGACAGCTGTCATGACAGCAGGAATAAGTTTCACTGGTACAAGCTTTCCCACTGTGCCATACAGGACCTCCAATTCCATGGCATGCTGGGGGCGGGAACAAACCTCAGGGTGAGGAGTCAGGACCATGTCCTCAGGAGATGGGGTGACTGACATGGCAGCAGAGGATCTGCTGTGAGGTACAGGCCATATTACTAGCCAGGGCTTTGTTTTCAGGGAGCTGACAAAAAGGCCATGAGGGGTTGCCCTGCAATCAGCCATGAGGACAGAGCCATGAGGACAGAGCCACGAGGCAGGATCCTGTTCAAGGCCACCTTGAACACCATGGTGAGAGTTATCTCATAGAAACGAGGAAAGCGAAGAAAAATGATGAGTCACGAGGGTCAGGCTACTGTGGGATCTGCAGAGGCCACAGGCCAAGGTGCTCGGTCTGCAGGGTTCTCAGAGACCTATCCTGTTGTCTAGATCCCTCAAGCATTCACACAGGTCTCTTACACTCCACAGCCATCTCCCCAAGCTCCCTCTGCTGACCTACAAGCCTGGGGAGGACAGTAGTAGGCTGTTTGATTCCATAAACAGAGCGCTGCCTAGCCTGTGCCTGGCCTGGTGGCCAACAATGAAGTAACTACTAAATAATTAAGTTGCGGTCCCCATGTGGCCATCATCATTCGTTAGTGTCCCAGTGGGTAGGAGCTGACCTGAGATTCTAGGAGACCCTAGCAAGAGGGAAAGAATGACAGAAGGGGTCCCCACTCCAGAACTGGCACCATCAGGGCATGACCACTACCATCACCCAATAATGGGTACCATGGTCATGTGACGGGAGGTGGGCTGGAGATGCCTCCTCACTTGCTCATTAGGGTGCCAGAGAAGATTCTAGAACTTCTAAAGTCCTTACTACCATCTTCCTCGATGGACAGACGAGAAGAAAAACAGCCTGCTCCTTCTCCTGCTCTCTAGGTCCCCAAGTCTGCCTTGGGCAGTCCCACTCTCCGGGTCACCTACACCGTCTCCTTCACTTCCCACTCTCCTCTCCCAGCACGGCCTTCCTCAGCACACCTTCCTGCCCACTCCTCCCTCCTTCCACTGTTCAACCAGCCATTTCCTTCCCGTTCCCTGAGCTTTGCCAGCTCTGTGCCAATCCTCAACTGAAAGTCCCTCAAGGTCCGTGTCTCTTATCTACAAAAGAGGAGGCAGCGGGACTGGAATCTTACGCTGTCTCACAATATCCTGGCCAGGTGCTTTCCCACTCTAGGGCTTTTGCCTGTGCCAGCCTCCCTGCCTGAAATACCAGCCAACAAGCTTACGCCTGAGGATGAGCACAGAGATGATGGGTCCGCAATGCCTGACTTCTTCACTATCGTATTTACTTTCCTGTGACGCTAGGGACCAGACCCAAGCCCCATACGCACAATTCAAGGCAAACAAGTACTCTAACACTGAGCTACATCGCCACCACAGACAGGCAGGGCAAGCCGTACCCCACTGTATGAACAGCAAGGAGACATGCTCAGGATCCCAGTCCCGGAGCAGACTGAGTGCTAGTCTCCTAGAAGCAAACTGGTACGAAGTCACTAGAGGAAAAGCAAGCATGGCAGGCCTGGAGTGACTGGCAGAGAGTAGGAAAGCTCAAAGGTAGTGGGGAGGAACTCTGGCCGGTTCACACAGAGGGAGGGAAGGTGGCATCCAAAGTCTGTTGCATCAGCTTGCTGTGCATCTAGTCTGCTCCAAAAGCTAGGCCAAGCCAACAGAAACCCAAGGAGAGCTTTGAGTGGGAGTGGGGGTGGGGGCTGGGAGGATCAGGGCCCACTTAAACAGGAAGTAGCTGGCTTGGTTAGTGGACTCACACTGACTGCTATGTGTTTTGTTTTGTTTTTTCCTGTCTAGGACTTCACTCTCAATAGAAAACATACTTTTTTTTTTTTTTTTTTTCCATACAGCATAACTTGCTATGTCATCCAGGTTGGCCTTGAACTCAGGATCCTCTTGCCTCAGCCTACCAAGTGCTTGGAATTACAGGTGTATGTGTTGAACCTTAAATACCTCTATCATTGGGGCTGAGGGGGTAGCTCAGTGATTAAGATACTTGTCATGCAAACACGAGGAACAGTGTTTGGATTCCCAGAATCCCTGTAAATGCTGGGTGGATGTGGTGACCCATCCCCAACACACGGAAAGTAGAGATGGGGTATCCCAAGTCAAGCTGGCCAGGGACACTAACACCATCTGCAAACTCTGGGGGTAAACTCAACTGTGTCTACAAGGTGGACAGCGACTGAGGGAGACGCCTGATTTCAACCTTTGCACATACGCATATGCACGCCTACACATATCCTTCCAAACACATCAGAACATCCAGAAAAGAAAAATCAGAAAATCCCTTTTAAGAGACCAACAGATTTTCCAGCATTGGGACAGAAACCACCCGTGTCTACCCACAACAGCCTGAGTGACCAGACTTAGAATCCAGCAGCAGAGATAACAAAAAAAATTCCACTCATCTCAAAACACTTCAGAAGCACGCACTGCTTCCAAAAGCTCCCGCAGCAGAAACAAGAAGAAATTAGCAACTCTCTAGCAGTGACGGATGGCCAGACGGCACAGACTTATTTAGAAGTATACTGGAAAACAAGAAAGACTGAAAACAACAGTAACCTCAATCGAGACATTTCAGGTAGGAGGAAACATGGATGGGAAAGACAGAAGGCTTCCCCAGATTGATCGTTACAAATGCCAAAGGGCTGCAGGCTCTCACAAACCACGACCGCAGACAGCACGAAATAGCACTCCAGACAGATATAAGGAGAGAGTCTCCCTTGGCTCTTACGGGAAAGGCTTTATGTGGGACCCCAACCAAGTCAAGTCAAGTCCAAACCCAGACTGAACTCAAAAGTCACTAAAGGTAGAGGGTACGCCTGGAACAGCTGCCTCGGAACAGCCTGAACTGGAGGAAGCCTGGGCTGGAGTGAGAAAACGGTCGGTACTTCCAGGAGGGCTGAACCAGGGCCAGGAATGTGAGGTTCCCGTAAAGCCAGTCTCAATGATCACTCCCAGAGTGGGCATGTGGTGGGACCGTGCTGTCCCAGAGGCAAGTGGGCAGGAGACTGGAACTCTGTGCTTGGGGGGACACCCAGCCCAAGGCCATGGACGTGGCTCTTCTCCCCAGGTTTCACTTCCTCTTTTGAAAAGGCGGATGCCCCTCTGGCTGCCCTAAGAAACCTCAGGCTGCCCAAGTTCTTCAAAATGGACCCGTGAATGGCGTTTCCCAGATCCAAGCAAGACAGTCTTGTTCTTTTAAACTCTCCTCTCTGTCAGGAGGTTTGGACAGGGGTTTAGTGCGGAGGCTTGTGGGTGACCAGTGTCACTGTATCAGCTGGCAGGTCTCTACACCATCCTGTTTTCTTCCTTGGCGATTGCAGCTCTACCCAACATGCACTTGGCTCCTTATGTATGTGCCCCTCCCACCCTTCACCTGCCTTCAGGCCTTCCTCACTCTCTGGGACTGTGGGGAAGGGGCACAGCTCACAATAATCTGCAAATTGATCGGATGGAGGCCTGGCAGCATTCACATGATTACTGGGCAGAGCACAGCCAAGTAAAAAGCTGATCTTGGTGGGTGGGGAAGGGGCTCACCTCGTAAACCTAATTTTTATTGTCTGTAATCAGTGGTGAAGATAGGAGGCTTGACGTGTGATCCTAAATAGAATTACTGGACTTCTCTGTCACTTCATCCACAAAACTTGACTGTCTCACAGTCCCACTTCATCCACAAAACTCGACTGTCTCACAGTCCTTTTAAACTGAGTAAAATAATTCACCTTCTCAGGACTGTCAGCTTCCTGAGGGCCTTTCCTGCTGGGTCACTCAGGGTTTTGACCCTGGCCTGTTGGTTGGCACCCAACACACATGGGGGTTGACCTTCATTCTGTAACTATTTCTGAGGGCTGGAGGGTCTTGGTCCCAGAGCCTCCTCCTTCCCACCGATCCCACGAAACCCACTTCCCCCCTTCCCAAATGCACACACATCTACAAATCCTCAGCTGGGGGCCCCACTCGCTGACTCCAAGAAGCTGTGGGCCCCACAGCCAGCATGAGTCAATGGTGGCGGCACCTGGAACTGTTTGACATCAGCACTTCTTAGAAAGGCAGGCTGTGCTTAAGAGACTGAAGTGCACTCGTAGCCCACAGACTGCAGGAGGCCCCGGGCCATGAGCCCAAGAAGCTCCTACTGCCCTTTTGTCCTTCCCGTCTTTCTACCAGACCCCTGCCTGGTCCTGTCACTGACTGGCCGTGCCTGTGAGACCCCAAGAGCTTAGACATACCGTCTGCCCTCATTGTACGAGATGCCACCCGTGACCGGCAGGGCTGGCATTACCCCTCAATCAGCTGCAAGGCTGGTGTGACCTGGTGACCCTGCCTATTCCTCAGAACAGTGGAGCGGGGCTGGGAATCTGGTCTGAGAGTTTGTTCCTCTTGGGAAGTCTAAACTGCAAAGCCTCTGCCAAACACCTCATCTTTGGCCTGAAACAGCACCTGGCAAGCCTGGTCCCTCGGAGCAAAGAGGCAAGGAAAAGAATGCTATCCTAAGTGGGAAAAAGACAACCGTCTTGTCCTCCCATGGGCAATGGTTTAGAAAAGCCATTTCATGAACATTCTCATACCTACGACAAATGGGAGCTTCGGGGAGGTGGAGTGATTGTCTTAAGGTCACACAGGTGGGAAGCAGCAAGGTCAGATCAGAAGCTGGGCCCCTGTCTTCAGTTCTACTCCTGACCCCTGTCACGGTGGGCACCAGCACAGTACAGTGGCACATGGGAGAAGAGGAGCCTCCCGCCCCTGCCTCTGCCACTCTCTGATGCAGGACGCCCAGCAAGGCCACTGCAGGCATCCGTGGATGTCAGTATTTTCACTTTGCCAAATGAATCCTTGGTGACAGTAAATACTGGATCACTTAACAATCCTGCTATCCCCCAGGTGTAGTTTTGAATGGGCATAAATGACCTCATGGAGCCTCACCACACGCTAGAGTGTTCTCAGACTGAACTTGGACTGAACAGGAAACAAATCAAGCCTTTGCTGGGTTGGGAGCTCTGGCTTTCAATCTCCCAAGCAGACCTCCTGTGCCACGAGGATCTCACGCCATGTGTAAATGTGTACCCCAGCTGGGTCCCTGCCCTAACCCCCAAAGGCAGCAAAATAGGGTGCAGTGTGGATGAGGCCGAGCATTCTCTTTAGTCCACAAGTAGCGCAACAGTCACTGCGCCTGCCTCAGGAACAACCTACCTGGCTGCCTGGCCTTCCTCAGTCTGGGATGGCCCTGAGACCTCAGCACTTCACAGCATAGCCCAGATACTAACCCCTCAGATGGTCACAACCCTGCACAATTACCAGTGTGTGGTCATTTGGGCAACTCACCCGGGATTCCCCATCCCTGCCCTGAAGATTCAGGAACAAGGCCAGAGCCAGGAATCTGCCCTGTGACTTACCCAAGTCTCCCAGCAGGGAACCCAGGGGCTCCTGCAGCACTGTCTTCCTTTCCACTTACCTGGCTCCTCTATGCTACTACGCGGCACGGTGAGCTTTCCTACCTTCTAGCTTTTGCCCATGCTGTACCCACAGCTCAGCATGCCTTCTCTTGCCTCCCAGCCTCAACCTGCCAAAGTACTCTCCCACACCCCAAACTGACTCAGGGGTTGCACTGCCCAAAGAAGAGGTGTCTTGCTCATTATACGTACTGCCTCTGTCTCGAGTGTTCTCCCCTCAGAGAGCACGGCCTAAAACCGCAAACGGAGCATCGATGAACTGGCGTAGTGGTCACGTCCCATCTCTGCCTCAGTGTCCCCCTATGTGGTCATGACTCCTCTGGCTGATTCCTAAGTCCTTGTCAGGACTGTGGAATCTCATTACTCTCTTCTGGCCAGATAAATACACAAGCCTCAGTTTCCCCATCAGACGTTAGCTTGGGACAAACGTCCCAGCAAATGTCCCCAGATTCCCAAAAGGCCACCTGTAGGGGGAAGACCACAGTGGGTCCCACACCTCCCAGAGAGCTGGAGAAGGACAGGGACCAGGAGTGCTGGTTTGGGGACAGCACTGAACCACAGACTGGCTAGCTTATACAACGGCTCGCTGGCCACAATAAACACTCAGGTTCCTGGGTTACTGAACCGGAACCTGGGAGGAGCCGGCCAGTCCCGGCTTCTAGAAGATCTCCGCAGCGTCCCGGCGAGGACCGCAGAAGCTGCCTGGGTTCCAGCGGGCGAGGTGTCCACCTGCCCGACCCGCGCCCGACGGCAGCGAACCCGGGACCAGAAGGGGAGCCCCGCAGCCTCACGCCCACCCGAGGATCCGCGGGCTCTAGTTCCAGTCCTGATCGGTCCCGTGGCCACCTCTAGTCGGACCGGAGTCTCCCCCACCGCCCGTTCCTACCTGCGAGCTCAGGCTCCACGCGCCGCGCGGGGCTTTCCTGCGCGCTGGGACCTCGCCCGGCTTCCCACACAGCCCAGCGCCCCTCATTTACATGAGACACCCCGCCTCTTGCACGGTCATTTACATGCCCCGCCCCTCCGCCCGCTCATTTTTCACTCGCGGTCCGCCTGGCCTTGCCTTGTCGCCCGCTCATTTGCATGCCCCACCCCATGCGTCCGCAGCCGGCGGGGTGGGGGCCGGGGGGGGGGGCTCTGGCTTGTGAGTCCCTAGACCTCAGGATTCGAATTTTTGCCCTTGCCCGACAGCAGACCAGCCCGGCTCGTGGTCGCGGCTGTTTTCCCAGTCTTCCAATGTTTACCCAGTGCCTGCGCCAGAGAAATTAGAAAGCAAAACAGCTCATCAACTGAGAGCCTCCTGTCAGGTCCAGGCACCTCATGCTGCCACTACCTTACGAGGGAATCATGAGCAAACGTGCAACCATCCTTTTTCAGATGGAAAAACTGAGGCACGACTGTTAAAAAAAAAAGCAAAACTTGCTCAGGGGCCGGTGACATGGCCCGCAAGCCTGAGGGCATGAGTTCTGTCTCCAGAATCCATATAAAAGTGAAAAGACAGAACAGACTCCATCCTCTTACCCATAACGGTGCAACTGTCGCCCACCTGGGCCATTGCTAGCTGAGCCATCCCATCGGCTTCCCATCCTGTTTTGGGAATTATGTTTTGGTTTGGCTTAGGTTTGCTTGTTTGTTTGTTTGTTTGTTTTTTGGGACAGGATCTTGCTCTACATCTTTGGCTGTCAGATTGTAGCAGAGTCTGAATTGAACTCCCAAGTAGGCTTGCAGGCGTGAGCCACCACGCTTTGCTGTCTTCTGAGTCTGTAAGCCACCTTTTGATCCCTCCTGGCTGACCACCTGCCTACATGTCAGCTCTAGATTATGGAGACTGGATGACTCAGGGCAGGGTGGGCCACCCTTGCTATACACTTCGTGACCCCAGCTGGAGAAGAGGGGACCATTTCTATGTGACAGATATGGGCTGGACTGTGATGGTGCTTGGAACCAGCCCTGCTTGACTCAGGTGCTCGAAGAAGCTCCACAGAACTAGGCCGAGAAAGCAGCTGAGCCAGAGCCTGCGTGCCTGGTTGTGAAATCAGAATCTGGACAGTGCTGACAGACTGGAAGGCCGGCAGGAAGGCCCAGCACATGCACATGTGGTCAGGAGAGGCATTTGGAAATGTCGGGGGAACAGTGATGGGAAATCTTAGCACTCCTCTTGAAACCAATCAGAGCTGATGTCGAAGCAGAGCCAAGGAAGCTGGCCAGGAAAACTGCTTATCTTCCTTGTGGTTCCAGATTTCCTGAGTGACCACTCTGCCTGGCCCGAGAGTGGGATGGAAGCCCCAGATAATCCAGTCTCCTCGCACAATGCAGGGGCTTCCCAAGCTTGCCTCACAGCAAGCTCAGAGCACATTCCAGCCAGAGATAGAGCCGCCTCAGCTCTTTTTTTTTTTTTTTTTTTTTTTTTTCCTGCTCAGCTTTTAACAATAGACTGTTTTTGGAACAGTGGTAGTGTGCTAGAATAATTGAACAGGGCTGGGGAGAAAGCTTGGTTTGCTCCCCTCAGTAGATCTGCGGTTGGACCCTACCCCCCCAGCTGAGAGTAGAGCAGAAGACACTTCACGGCGGATAAGAGCACCTGCTCTACTAGCCTGGGCATTTGAATCCCAGTGTCCAGGTCAAAAGCTGAGCTAAGTCTGCCTGTAATTCTGCATGGTGGGAAGTGGGCACAGGAGGATTTCGGCGGGGCGGGGGAGGGCTTTCCGGCTGCCAGCTTAGCCTAGGCTCAGCGAGATGCTCTTTCCCGAGAGAGTAAGGTGGTGAGTGGGAGAGCAGGACACTCAGGGCACGCACACAGGCATGCACATACCCCACGAGTACATCTTCCACACAAGCCAGGCATAGCGGCATACACGTGTAATCCCAGTACTGGGGAGGCAGAGATGGGTGGGTCCCTGAGGCCTGCTGACTAGCCAATCCAGACTGATCATTGAGGCCTAGGTCCCTGTCTCAAAAATCAAGGGGATGGAGGGGATGGAGTTCAGTAGGTAGAGTCCCTGACTAGCATCGGCGAGATCCTGGGTCCAGTCCCCAGGCGGACATGATCTCAGTGTGGTGGCACATGCACGTAATTCCAGCACAGGATTGAAGATGGAGGCAGAGGAAGTTGAAGCCATCAGAGCAGGTTTGAAGTCAGCACGTACTACTTGAGATCCTGTCTCAAAAACAAACACAAATAAACAACAAGGTGAGGGCTGGGGCTGTGCCCTAATGGCAGAGCAATTGCCTAGTGTGCACAAGGACCCAGGCTGAACCGCCAGTTAAACAAAAAAAAGCAGACAGCTTCCGCCTGCCACAGGCATGTACACCCACATCAACAGGCACCTGGGCATAGATGCAAGAGAAACAAAGAATTGAGTGTGTACTACCGCAACAGTGTGAATTCGAAGAATCCTCAAGTGGCTCATGCGATGTGGCTTGGTCTCAAACCCTCAGATACAGTTGTGGAGGGGTAACCAGACCCTAAGGCCTCTGGCCTAGTCCTGGACTGACCCACCAGTACATTCATGGTTTGATGGCACAATTGGGAGACGGTGGACTCTAGGAGGCAGGCCTGGCTGGAGGAAGCATTCTCCTACGGCATGTCCAAACTCGACAGTGATGTATAGTGTTAGTTTTTTTTTGTTTTTTTTTTTTTACACTTGTTTTATTTGTTGTTGTTGGAGGGAGGTGCACGCGTGTACAGCGTGCTTGTGGATATAAAGTTTTTTATTATTGTTAAACCAAGCAGTTAGACAACACATGCATTTGATTGTGCTTCGTCTGTTCTGGCATTTGGTGTTGTTGGCTTTTGGATTTTAGCCACTCTTTTCCTGTGCTCTATGTTCCTTCTTTTAAATTGCCATTTGTTTATCTTGCTTGCAGTCTGCCAGTAAGTAACTCTTCTCCCTCCTGTCCTCCTTTAATTCTTCCAGACAAGGTCTTGCAATACTGTTCTTATATCTCACTTCTCTGCCTCGAACAGCCACAACTTCTAGGAGATTGTTGTTGTTGTTGGGGTTTTTTTTGGATTAAAAAAATAAAGAGTGGTTTATTTTTATGTGTTTAAATGTTTCGCCTGCATGTATGAAAGTACGTGTACCACATGAGTGCAGTGCCCATGGAGGACAGAAGAGGGCATCGGGTCCCCTTAGAGCTGGAGTTACAGGTTGTGAGCTATCATGTGGGTGCTGGGAATTGAACCCAGGGCCTCTGGAAGAGCCACCAGTACTCTTAATCACTGAGACATCTCTCGAGCCCTCAAATTTAAAAAATATATAAATAATATTTATTTCTTCCTTCTCATGCTGTCTCTCTTCTTCCCTTTGTTTCTTTTGTTTGTTTGTTTGTTTGTTGTTGTTGTTTGCTTGCTTGCTTTGAACAGGGTCTTCAGGGTGGCCTGAGATTATCTAGAATGGGCTGGCCTCAAACTCATAGAAATCCCGCTTGCCTCTGCCGGGATTGAAGGTGTGTGCCACCACCATGCCTGGCCTCCTTTGTATTTTGGTACTAGGCAGGATTTCCGCATTTCCAGTGTGCTGCTGAGGTGGGAGAAGGCACTCTGCGGCCCTGTTCCTGATTTGGGTGTGGAGAGGCATCTAGCATCTCACCAGGGAGTGACGGATGTGCTGGCTGTGGGGCTTCTGCAGATGTTCCTTACCGAGTGGAAGATGTTTTACTCTGTTCCTGTCATTGTCACCTTGGAATTTTGTAAAATGCTCTTTCTGACCCAGTGGGCATGGTAAGATGTTTTCTTCATTAACCCGTGGATGTAATGAATGGTGTTAACTCACTTCAGACTGTTGAATCAGCCGGGATAAGTCCTACTTGGTGGCATGTTATGATTCTTTCCATACGTAATTGGCTCTGACTTGACCGTCTTGCTGAGGGCTTTTGCATCTATGCTCATGGGACATACTGATCTGCAGTGTTCATTTCTTGTAATGTTCCTTTTGGTTCTGGTGTTAGAGTAATAGCAGCTACACAGAATTAGAGGGAGCTCATTCTGCTACTATTTTCTGGAAACGTATCACAGAAAATCGGCATCATTTTTCCTTAAATGTTTGTTAGAATTGCAAACATCTGCACCATTAACAATTTTTAAAGTTATGTTCATTTATTATTTTGTGCGTGCATTTTGGGAGCCAGTTCTCCCCTTATATTTTCTCACAGGGACTGAATTTAAGTCACCAGGCGTGGAGGCAAGCAACCACTGAGCCATCTTGCCAGTTTCAACCGTATTGCTTTTTAAAGTCATTAATTATTTATTCCATTGCTTTAATAGATAGCAAATAAA